TAGCACATTCAAAGATAAACTATTCTCCAGAAAATTACCCAAATGACCAATGTCGAGTGCTTTTTTGTCTCTTACCAAGAAGCCCAGAGACTTCCTGAAGCAGGAAGTAGTTTACCTTGATATTTTTGCAGCTCTAGAGCATTTCACTCAGCTTCTCAGGGTTTAGAAATACCATGGCAGTAGTTGTCCAAGACACATCTTAAACTCTAAGAGATTTTAAAGACTTAAACGGGCGAAAGACCTCAGTCGGTTGGAGACTAAGGAGAGGTTGATAGGGCAGCAGGGTATAGGATGGAGGAAAGTGAACTGCACAACCCCAGGGGGCTCCACTTCTGCTGACTACCATGAAAGTAGAAACCCCTGGAGCCATATAGCATGGCAATCCCGGATTACAGATAAAGTGTTTGGCAAAAAGTAACTACAAACATTAAAAGAGTTTCACTTGACACAAACCTTAACCAGTGGGCATCTGAACTGTCAATCAGCTCAGAATGCTTAACTGCTGAGGTGAGGAATGCAAAACAATCTTCACAAAGGAAAACACAACTGCCAAACCCCTCATGCTGCCATGGCAACAGGAGCTCACAAGTGATGCAATTGTAAAGGCAGCTGGGCATGTGCACATAGGACTGTTAGAAGCTGGGCGCGGAGAGAGAGCGTGAGCACAAGATCCCATCATGAGGGAAATGGGAAAATGCACATGAATCCTGGTAACGAAAGCAAAATTGGTCACAGCTGTTAGCTGGAAGGCGGGGGGAAAGAAAACAAAGTGTATTTTACCTTTGCATGATGTCTTTCATCGAAGATTATTAAAACACAGCTCACTTCCTTCATCCCCCGAGCGCTGTGTTGAGGTTGCAGTCACCCATTTCATGGGCAATATGGTCAGCTCAGCGACTCACGACCAGGAGAGAAAGGAACAAAACATTCCACAGCAACTGGCTGTGGCACTAAAAATCTCAAACTTATTTGAACCCCAAATCTTCCTTTACCAAAATTCCTCTAACTTTATTCAATAAAGTTCAACATTAAAAGATAAATTCTCTCTCAAAATGAGGCAAAATGAAATCACTTAGTGAATCTTGATAAAGAGCATGGGGGAAGTTCCGTGTGCCCGTCTTGCAATTTATCTTCGTTAGATTTGAATTCTAACAGAATACAAAGTCACAACAAAATAACTAGAGCATCTGGTGCCTGGTGCTCTATGTGGGCAGGGTTTTCTGGCTGTCGTGTCCATTGCTATGGCCCAGTGCCAAGTCCAGTATGTGGTCACAGTATGTGCTCAATCAATGCTTGCTGAGGGAATGGTAGGCACTCAGTGTAGTTTTCCACTAAAAGTACCAATGAAGCAGCTCCAACAAGTCCTGTATCATGGTGTGTTCTCCCATGACTTCCTTGGTCACTAAAATTCTTTTTTCATGCGTCACATATTTTCCAAGTGCCTATAGGCTGCCAGGAACGGTATAAGACACTGTGTTTTTAGGGTTGATTACTATCTACAGTCTGGTAGGGAAGACAAGCAACTCACGAATGGGAATTGGCCTACAATAGTGACAAGGGCTGTGAAGGGAGGGTATAGGGCCTTCAGAGAGGCTGGGGCAGGAGAAGAGAAGAGGACAGGAAGATTGAGCTACATGTAACGAGCAAAGAAAAGAGCAGGACGACACCAGCTCGGAGACGTGGGTGAAAACAGGTGTAGCAGGGAAGTATACATTTCCTTTAATTCTCCTGAGTTCTTGGCAGAGACCCCCTATAATAAAAACACAGATTAACAAGAGAAAAAAATTATTAGCATGTATACCACATGTGTACATGGAAGATAACCGGCACAAATGAGGAACTCAAAGAGGTGGCTTAGCGTTCAGGCTTAAATACCATCTTGATGGGGAAGGAAGAGTGTTGCGGGATTCTCGAACGGAGACAGGACATGAGGCCATAAGCAGGAAGCAGCGTTTACTGATGTCAGCACCGGCTCAGCGGATTCTTATGCAAAGGCTGAGCCCTGATTGTAACGTAACAGGCAGTTTTACACAATCTTGTCATTCCTATACAGCTACAGATATCAGGAAGAACATTAATTGGTTGGCAGGCTATGAGAGTCCTTGAGGTGGGGGGAGGGCAGTCAGGAACGAACTCCTTTGAGCAGGAAATGGCCAGGCAGGGTCAGGCTGCCGCAAGGGCTGTGGGCCTCTTGGGGGAGAGTAACCAGTTTTTAGGAGAGAGGACTGGGCCTTTGGAGAATAGGTGTGAGCCATGATAGTTTGTGACAAAGTGTGTTTGGATGTGGTGATGATGAAACTCCTGGGGACAGGATTTATGACAATCGAGATCCTTTGGGAGGATCTGCCCATGGGCAGAAAAGATGAGTTAAGAAAAAGCCTCTCCCTGCATCTGCAGTTTTTCAAGGGCCTACAGCTCAAAATAATCAACATGCTAAGTGCCCTATGTTGCCGTGGCATATTCTGCTACCCTTCTCAGGCCACCTCAGGCCTTGCAGCCAAAGTGATGGGCTTGAGTTTTAATGTCACAGCAGTGGGAACCAATGGATTCCCTAGAGGAGAGACCTGACTGGACTCACACCATTTAAAGTTCTCTCAGGTGTTGTCAAAGTCCAAAAGTTCTTTCCCCTGAGTCTTACTGTCACACTCTTTGGAGGAACAAAGGCGGAATTATTTTTAAAAACTACCAGAAAATGCCTATGAGGCAGTCATATGCACAGAAGCCCAAAGGCCAACTGTCCAGCTAGAGGCTAATGTTTATTTAGTGCTTAATCATTCTTTGTTAGGCATTATTTTAAGCTCATTACACACATTAACTCATTAAATTTCCGTTAAGTCTCTGAGGTAGGTGCTATTTTAATCTTCATTTTTAAAGATGGGGGTCCTGAGGCTTAGAGAATTGTCAGTAACTTTACCAGAGTCACAGAGAGAGTGGGGGACCCGATTCGCACCCCAGCAGCCTGGCTCCCAAGCCAGCGATGACAGTGGTGAAGGGGATCAGGCTGTACCACCTGAAGTACATCATAAGGATCACTGGTACATGGACTATTTAGAGCCAAAGGCAATGGAGAATTAACAGACACAAGAAGAGTTCTCTGCTCTCCCTTCTCTGACTAACAACAGGGCATAAATTTCTCTTTATGAAGGTGCCTCCCATATCAGTGTAACAGAGTAAAATGCTTGCTTTCTCCCTGAAGGGAGCAGATAGTTTCTGCTAAAGATATGCTAATTAACTACAGGACAGGCACCTCAGGACCAGACGGGAGGGAGGCCGGGGGCAGGAAGGGATGCACAAAGAGGGTTAGAGATTCGAGGCTCTTCCAAAGACCCCGCCTCTTGCCCTGCCCTTTCTCTTTACTCTGGACATATGGGGACTTGAACTTCTGGCACACTTAAGATGGATTTGAGAAAATGTAGAAAGTTCTCCTTTTATTGTATCGGAGCCATCTCAATTAATAAACCTTTCCTTATTCCAAACTCTGATCTGTTGAATGTTGGACATTTGAAGCGCGAACACACAAACTTTGTGACTGCAATGCCAGACCTTACGAAAATAACCCCATCAGGCATTCCCTAGTCAGCTCATGATTTAATAACATCCCTTGATGCCCAAGCCCCTTTCCTTTGTTAAAATGGTGCATAAACTCCCAAGTCTAACCACTTTTTGAGTTTCATTTATTTTCTGTGAACTCCCTCATGCATGTAAATATGAATAAAAATGGTGCCTTTTTTCTTGTTAATCTGCTTTTATTATTTTAATTCACCGGCTTCTAGGGACTGGACCTGAGAGTGTAGAGGGAAAGTATTTTCTTCCTTACAGTAGTATGGGGGTGGGGGGGGGTGCGTCTAGACTACAGAGGGATTGGGCAGGTCACCTGACCATGTGCTGCTCCAAGATTCAAACACATAGGTCCCTGGACCCCAAACCACCATGAAAGCACTTTGTGGACAGAAAACGACCACAAGTTAAAACATACCTCAAACACAATTTTAAAATGATCCCTCGAATCCGACTTGGATTCTGTTTTCACAATCCCGGTTTCTCTTGTCGCTGTGAAGAAAGTTTGTGCAGAAACCAAGGGAAGTTCAGCCTTGGCCCACGCGCCCCTCAGACTCGCCGCCCACCTGGGCCTGCCCCTGCCCTCCCAGCCTGCTGGGGCTGGGGCTCCGGGAACCGACATCCAGGACATGAGCCCACACTGGGTTTAGGTGGTCCCTTCCCAGGCACTCCTGGGAGGCTCAGTTTCTCCCAGAATCTGCATTTTACTCCAGTCTCTCCCTGCTGTCTGGCCTGGAGGTGAATCATGTTTGCCTTGCTGCCCTCTCGCCCAAGGCACTTCTGATGTAGTCCTTCCCTGATTCAGGATGCAGATGATGACACCTGTAAATCATGACATCGCAGTGGCTGCCGGCCGGGCTGACACCATCAAGTTCTTGGATAAAATGAGACAGCGGCCATTCTAGAGAGTTCCATGCTAGTGTTTCTCAAAGTGTGTTCTCGCCAGACCTGTTAGTAATATTCAGTCTCCTCTCTAGATTTTCGGAATCAGAAACCCTTGGGATGAAGCCTGGCAATCTGGTTTAACAAGCCCTCCCAGTGAAGCTGACGAATTGTAAAAGTGAAAATTCTCCAGTTTCGGGGAGGTAGTATCTCTAGGCGCCCACCCCAGGAGAAGCAGTAACTCAGTTACAGAGAGGTGATATCTCCAGGCACCAGCCCCAGGAGAAGGGCAAACATTCCAAGGCGTAGATGATAAAACTGTCTATTAGGCCTTGTTTGATCTGAGAGTTCCCCAGATACATTTATCTTTGTACAAAAGGGTAACGACTAACTTCTGCTTCTTGTAATCTGCTTATTCAAGGATGTAGTAGGAAACCTTATAAGCGGCCTCCTGGGGAAGCTCGGGGCTGATCTCCTCTAACCCTGCGTGGTAGAGAGTCAGTCGCCGGCCGGCTAATAAAGGTTTATAATCAATCTCAATTGGCTCCGTGGGTCTTAGAATCGTTCGCGCCACAACAGAATGATGAGAAGCAGAGCTGCTAACGCAGCCCAGGGCCAGCAAACTGTGGCCCGTGGGCCAAGTCCAGACTGCTCTCTGTTTCTGTACAGCTCGCAAGGTAAGAATGGTTTTAAATTTTCTCATGGTTGGAAGAAAAATATAAAAAAGCGTGATTTTCCAAGATATGTGAAAAATTATTTTAAATTCAAATTTGGGTGTCCACAAACAAAGTTGTATTGGAACATAGCCATAGCAGCTTTTGAGCTACAATGCCAAAACTGTGACAGAGACCATGAAGTCTAAAATATTTACTCTCTGGCCCTTTGGAGAAAAGGTTTGCGGACCCCTGCTCTAGGCAAAGCTGTTTTGAAATCCATAATGTTTGGTGAGTTGCAGCAGCTGTCAGCTGCACTCCAAACATGGGGAAGAAACAATCCTCCCAGACTTCCCCATGTAAAATCTGTTTCTGTGCCATGCAGTTAAATTAGTTATGTCTCTAAAAGATGCTAAAAATGGCACTTGAATTCAGAAAAGTTTCCAAAGGTCTATCCTGCCCCACATCCAAATAAATCTGGTTTCGCAGTCCAAAACTTCTGCTTTCATTGCTGGGAATTTTGCGAGGTGTGGCCAGCTGGTATTTACCTATGTCTCTGTTGGGAAAATATAGAGCAGGGAGGTTGCTTTTCTTGGGCTAATTAGGAGTGTTCACGGAAGAGGACTAGTGAGATTAGAAATTCTGAAGGTCTGAGGAGTGTTAAGCCTGGCTTGAGCTGGCACCCAATTTAGATATACGCTGAGCTGGAACTCAGCTTATAATCAATGAAAAGCCATGTGAAGAAGCACCATACCCTGAAGCGTGCTGCACACACGGGCATAAGACATGAATCAAATCTGTCTGAAGCTTTCGGTATGAGTAGAGTCCCAAGAAACGAGGCCAGGCAGGGAGTTAGATCATGCAGGACCCTGAATAACATACTGTGGGAGTAAGGATTTATCCGGTGTGCAGATGGAGCTGTGGGCGTGCTGTGAGAATGAGGGAGGCATATTTCTTTAATCGCAGGTCGCATGAGGCTCTAGAGATACAAATTAACGTCCTTGCCTGGAAAGAAATCATGGTGCAGTGGGAGAAACACACATGTAAACAAAAAATTTTAATACTTAAATTTTAGAATTTAAATTTATTAATAAGATATTTAATGTTTGTGAACCCTGGAGCAAGACGCCTCAAATTTGGACCCACAGGTTTCCAAGCATTGCCCCGGCCCCAGCTTCCAACAGAGATGTGGGTTCGGTAGGCAGGAGCAGGCACAGCCATCCAGGATGCCTGTGGAGCAGGGAGTCTGGGCCACCATGAGGGACACGCGCCCCCAGGGGAGGGCCATTCAGACAGGAGAATCCCTTGCACCAAAGTGGGAGGGTCGTGTCTGTTCAGGAAAGTCAAGCTTTTAGTGAGTAGAAGTTTGCCCTGCTGTACAGGTGGGGCCAGCAGAGGTCATCTCTGCTACCCTGCCCTTATGGACGAGGCTCCTAATTCAAGTTCGTGCAGGTAGTTAAGGGCGGGGCAGAAGTTCCTCTTGAGCTCAAAGCTAAAATTACCTTTAGCTCAAAACGATCCACGTACCACAGAGGCACATTGTGGGGTGACTCATTCTGAACCCCCACAATACCTTAAACTAATATTATATGTCAATTATATCTTTACAAAAACTGGTAAAAAATAATAATAATTAAAAAGCAGAAGCGCCTTCCTCTACCCTGGCCACAGGTGACCTCACCTACCAGTGTCCTGAGTTCATAGCTGGTACACACTGTCATTACTACATTTTTCAAATTCTTTTTTCTTAAGTCATCAGCGTTTCTTAGCACATCGTGATATGTTTGGTATTAAGGTTAAGGTTTGCTCTTTTTATCAGACATTAATAGGAAACATTTTTCAGACTTCTACAGTGGCTTTGCAGAGGCCAGGGTGGCAGATGCGAGAACTCTGGGGAACGTTCCTGCGGCTGCCGAGGCCAGAAGCCACCGCTCAGGACACAAAAGCCCCTTAACTCATTACACAACAGTGGCTACTGGGAGAATTCGCACCATGTTCCATGTTAAAAGCCGATTCAGATTCCATTTCACCTAAGTGTTTCTTAGGTATCTTTCTTTTCAGTAAGACCAGCACAACCTAATTTGATCAGAGGGATGAGAACACTTGCTGGAAGAAGCCACGATGCTGGCTCCCAGGCCAGTTTCCACAGGCCTGCTGGTGGCCGTGCTCAGGACCTTGCAGCCAGAGTGAAACTCTGTGTCCGGCAACCCTTTGCTCTGAGGACTGTAACCTCCACTTAAAAAGTAAGCCAGATAAAAAATAAGAAAGGAAAAGAAAATGAAAAAATATGGGATTATCCTCAAACTAGAAAAAAAAATCTCGAGAGAGTGGAGTAAGTCACCTCTCATGATTGGCAGTGGGGGGTCCTCATGTCCCCTCCTAGGCTCCCTGATCACACCCACCCACACAGACTCTGGTCTACAGGCCCTTCCCTGCTCCTCTGATGGGCAGGACAGGACGAAAGCATCCCCTGCCCAAGGCTGAGGGCAGTTTCTGGCTGACTCCTGGAGGTTTACCGAGATCCTCAGTTGTCTCGGAACTGGCTCCTTCTGTTGCTTGTGGAGAATGGTATCCATTGATTCAAGTCGAGTTCAAGTCCAGGCTGGCTCACAGCCCTCTCAGTGGCCAGCCCATCAAGTCCAAGATTTCCTAGTTCTTGTAATAAAGGCACCATGTACGATCTAAGGAGGACTTGACTGAAAGTTACCTGGGCAAGTTTTAGCTCTTTACCAAACACTTATTGGTCATGTAAACAAACAAACAAAATGCCAAACTGGCTGAAACTAAGTTAAACTAAATCAATTTGTCTATGAGTCAAGTAAGATGACGAAAAAATATTTAAATTGGTCCTGAGACATGGAACATGTTTCCAAATTACGCTCTAGATCACCAAGTACCTTCGTTCTCTTCTGACTGCAGCAAACAACCCACTCAAGGTTTTCATCACTCCTGGGGGAGGCCTCGGCTCTGGCCACTTGGGGCTTCTCTGTGGGTCTTCAGGTTGGGATGGTACAGGGATCTCAGTGACTCAGCTGGGTGGCAGGCATCCCGATTGAGAGCTGTCCACAGCTGATCTGGGGAGAGTCGTTTTCTAGAAGTTGAGAATAAAGCCACAGATTTTAATCTCAAGGTCATTTAAGAAATGATAGGCCATCTTGAATCAGGACTTTAAAGAGCCCCCGAGACCTGTAGCTGAAGACAATTTTCTATTTTACACACCAATCTGAGTGACTCTGAGGTTAAGGCAAATATCTATACTACACTTTGAAGTCAGGATATAAATAGTCAGTAAATCATCCCCCAAAATATGAGAATAAAGTCACTATCAGGCTTTTGTCTCAGGGTAAACTCCAAAAATTTTTTTAAAATTGTGTACAAGTACCATACTCAAAGACATGTTTTCTCTTAAAGAAGGGATTTGAAGTTTTCTAAATCTATTCAGAAACCCAATTCTGTTGTAATTAGTCCTGAAGAATAAAGGGGGGCTGCAGCTCTACTATCTTTTCCACCCACACCCACACTCTCTCCTCTTGCACGCAGACCCCTCACCCTCTCCCCCTCCAACACCTGGTAATTCCTTCAGGTTTCAACTTTTCTCAGAAAAATCACTTTTTCTGAGAGGTCTTTAGAACTGTCTCAGAAAATCTGAGCATATACTTACTATTAGTTAGCAAGACATTATAGTGATTCATTACTTTTCCCCTTTATTTGATCTGATTTCGTGATCTAAATATCTTTTTTTTGTTAGTCATTTGTCTGAATGACATTGTGTTTCGGACATTGAAGTCCTGGTCTATTAATCATGACATCATTATTTTCCACTGTCTTCACTTATGTTTTTGTATTTCAGGAACCTCTCTGTTATCCCCAAATAGGAATCTATTTGAAAAAGTAGATGCAAAGACAAATATGTTCACTGTCCTGTTAAAAGATAAACTGAGGCATATTAAAATTTTTCAGAGTTTATTTGAACAAAAGTCAATTCAAATGGGGCAGTGCCAAACCGGATGTGGTTAGGGACACTCCAGGGACAGGAAGTCAAGGAGAGAGCTTTATAGAGAAAAAGTGAAAGCAAAGCAAGGACGTTATTGATGGGCTATAGCTTACAGTCTCAATGTTTCGATTTCGTAACCGTGAGGCAATTATAAACTTAGATTTTTGGATTGCTCACGTAGGCCGCCAAGATGTTAGAGCCACCTCAGTCCGATGGTCTTGTTTACTTAATCTAACAGTCTTCATAATGGTTTATTTCCTCATTCACTTATTTGTTTGTTAATTCACATGTGCAATTTTAATTCTTATTGATTTTGCTAGGCAAGGTGCTAACCACAATAAATAAGATGTAGAGTATGCAGTAATAAAGGTACGGATACGGTGCATATGCAGGAAAGAAGGGGGTGATAGGCATCTATGCCTGGAGTGGTAGAAGCCAGCCGACCTTGGTTTTGAAGATATAGTTGGTATTTCTCAGTGAATCAAAGTGGTAAACAGCCTAAGGAAAGTTTGGGACACAATAGCTATGTGTAGTTCCATTTGTTTAAAATGTACTATATAAGGAATAGAGTCCTAGGGGATAAGGCAAGGCTATCTACAGCCCATGCTTGAGCCACACAAGGGGTTGCCAGATTTAGAAAATAAAAATACAGATACACAGTTAAATTAAATTTCAGATAGATAACATATGTATATATTTTATTGTAAGTATGTCCCATGCAATATTTGGGTCCCGGGATAATATAAATCTGAGTTTGATCTACAGGTTTATTGCCTTGAAGAATATTACTAGATTTTTTTTTTGAAGATCTAAGTGGCTTTTTAAGTGATTCATAAATCAAGCAGCATCTAGCAACTAGAAGTGCACTCTTATTTGATTTTTTTAAATCTTAGTTTCTTTATCCTTAAAATAGGAACGATGATTTAAAACAACAACAATAATAAATATTGTTCAAGGTCTTGGAAAATATTAATTAAAAGTTCTCAGATCACTGTAGATCCCAAATAAACGAGTGTCACTGATTAAAACAGGAGCAGCACAGACCCTGTCAAGCTGTCAAGCAGTTGTCTGGAGTCTTCGATGAGGAGGCAGAGCTTCTCTCTGGATGTGGAGCTCCAGCCTGAACAACGAGCAATGACTCTGAAATGGTAAAATAATAAAATGATAGCAACAACAGAGAACAAACAAGAAAAGATGAGCCAGTGTGTGAAATATTTGGTAGGATGTGACAAAGACATGGAATGAGGAGAAAAGGCAACGTCTTTGGGGGCCAAAGACAGGGTCGTTCCCAGAAGGATTTAGTTCTTAGAGGGAACCATAATACCTACATTCACAAAGTACTGTCCATTTTGTTCTATAATTGGGGCTGGTCACTTTCAGTAATTAAAGATCTCCTGTCCCCCAGCCAGGGCCTCCTGTCTTAATACAAAATTACTTTAAAAACTGAGAATCAGTTCATGGAAGAGTCTTGCCTACTGACTTCCACCTCATATGGACTCCTGTTTCCTGTTGACCCAGGAGTCTAACGTTAATTTTTAAGTGTTAATTCACTTTGGGTAACTGAAAAGCCATTCTAATACCACAGCTTACTGTGTGCAAGGCATGGCAGTGGCTGAGCTTCCTGAACTAGGTGCTTAGAGATGAGTAACATTCATACAGTGTTTATCTTCCGGTGAAAGGCCATCATAAAATCATAAAACAATAATTTCTGGGACTCGTTACTAGAGATTCTCGACTTTTATCCCTCCTCTGACTTCTTTTCCCACATGGTGGTCTGTGGCACTCACTCCCCAACCCTGCGCCCAGAGTCCACATGGGCCAGTTGCTATGGCAGCACCAGGAGTTGGGAGGACTGTGCTTTCCTTTGTGATGTTTTATTGCTCTCTAGGTCTCAGCCGTTCTTTTCTGTGGGCTGGTGAAAATTCATGTCAGTGGAACACGTTTAATGTTCTATCGAC